TGGTCAGCCCTTGTGGGCACCAGCTGGGCTTCGGCCACGTCCAGCCTCAGGGGTCCCTGGGTGGCCCTTATCAGCCGAGAACACGCCCATACGCTGCCAAAACGGCCATCCGGGAGCTCACCCAGCCTTCCCCACTGCTGCGTGGGCTCCGCCACCACCTAAACCACACCACCACCACCAAAACCGCTGTCCGCGAGTCACCCGGTCTTCCCCGCTGACACCAGAACAACAGTCAGCGGAGGAAGTCTGGGTGAGTTACCAGATGGCTCCCCGCCGACGGTGCTTTCGGCGGTGGGGGGGCCTGGGCGGCTGACCATGGCCGGGAGGCTTGAGAGAAAGCTTCGTGGGGAGTTAAGTGTGCTGATTTTTACTGTTTTGGGTGGCTTTTGTAGGGTGAGATTCGGCTGGTGGGGTTATTTTGGGGTTATTTTTGTGTTTTGTTTTTTTTTGCAGCCCCAGGAGCTTGCAGATCTTTATTTTTATTTTGGGGGGGGGGGTGTTTTCCTTCGTCCGGAATGAACTAATGGGTTTTCAATGCATTCCTATGGGAAATGGTGCTTTGACTTATGAACATTTTGACTTAAGAACGCCATTCCAATACGGATTAGGTTTGTAAGTCAAGGCACCACTGTAATGGGATTGTACTGTACTACAATTCCAGCTTGCATTGTCATACTATGGACGTTAATAAAATTTAAAATTTAAAAAAAAAGGCACTGGGCTAAGTCTTGGAAGTTTTTATTTTCTGGCACATTCTCTTTACACACTACTAAGTAAAGAAAGTCCTTGATGCAGCTGCAGCACACTTGGCCCTGAGTACTGACAGCAGCTCCTGTAGGCTAATCTTTGTTCTAGATTCAGTGTTATGTGCTCTTTGAAGTTGAGCATGTACATTAAAAAACAAATGGGGGCATGTGCATTAAAAACTGATAGCTTCTTATAAGAATGCTTACTGATGTTCCAATAGCACTATAAGGTAGACGGATGTTTTCCTTTACAAGGTGTTATGACACAGAGCCAGAACATTTGCTAACAGAAGCAAGGATAGAATTTAGAGCAGGGCAGATCTAGAAAGCAGAAGTACTCTTGTTGTTCTATTGTATGAAGAGCTCAGTGCCCTCCACAAAGAGATCAACAACCTGCTACCTCCTTACAGGCTGAAACTGATAAATTGTACCTGTGTGGGTCAGTTGTGTTATCGTGGAGAAAATCTCTGACAACCTGGGTCACATCTTCATTTGACATAACATCCCAAAGGCCATCAGTTGCCATGATGAGGACATCATCTTCCTTAATGTTTTCTCTGGTTAGGTCAAATATTTCCACCTAATTGGAAATACGTAATGGAACAATGCAAATTCGTTAAATGGTGTTCCCAAATAGAGAAGAGTTTAAATATTGTTACCACAAGAGGGCACACCATACAAACTCTCAGGGTGCAGACCAGAAAGCCATCTGATTCATTGTTCTTTCTGTTTTCTATGCAAGCCAGACTCTTTCTTCTGCGAATCTTACAAGCAAGGTATGAAGATAATGACTGTCTTTTTGAACAGAGTCTCAGATATGGCATAGCCATGTACTGCCCTTGTACTGCCCTCCTACCTAGAACTCCAGTTGTACTCCTAGCAACTTGGCTTTTAGTGCAGGTGCACAGTCCTTGTCCACGCACATCTGAATATGACTGATGTGAGATGCAGCCAGGACATCTAGAGAATCAAGGGTATTCCACCCATACTCTAGCAAGTCTGTTTAATACTGAAGCATTGTACAATATAGTCTTAGTTACTCTAAATCAGATTAAATGTGTCAGAGAACTGGCTAGGCCAAGATAATGTATACCAGCTGCCCAAGTAGGTGGTGAGTGGAAACTGAGCTTGCCACAACCAGTTCATTGTCTCAGCTGCTTACCTTAGGAATGCAAGAGAGGAAAGGCTTGACTTCCACATCTGTTTCAATGACTTTCAACTTGTGGTCTCCCAGGCCTCGAGACACAGCCAAGGTGCCCAGCAAACGAGCCTGAAAGAGATGTAAAAAGCCTTGGATCAAGAACAGTGCTGCATAAGGGATTGGAACAGGCCTTGCCACCAACAGCCATCACATCTCAAAAGGTGGAAATTCCTCGACTCGGGCTTCTGATTGCAATGTCAGTGAGCAGACAGATAGGTTCTGTCAAGTGGGTTCTGCAAATACAGTGAGTCTAGGCTACTTAGCTCTTTTTTCAGAGCAAGCCTATATATATGTCTACTCAAACACAGTCATGTCCCATTGAGTTCAATGAGACATCTGTATAGGTCAGTATAAGACTGCAACCTAATGAAGTTAAAACTGGAACTCTGAATGTTGGGAAACAAGCTAACGATGAGCTCTTCAAAGTATGAAGAAACTGTTCATTCCTAGATTGGTTGATTAATAATCTTGCAGCTATATTCCAGATAATCTGAGGGAGCCTTAAAGAACAGCCCCATACAGACTGCACTGCAGTAATCTAATGCTGATGATGCCATATTTACTATGTTAAGATAATGGCCTGCATGTCCAAGAAGTCTGTAATAAAATGAAACTCACCAGTTCAAGGCTCTTCAAAAAACTACAGAGCCAGGTATTAAAGTTAGATGCTCAAAATAGTTACTAATCCAATAAAATAAACTCATCTGTTCATAGTGCTATGATAGTGACAAGCATGAAGGAAGAGGCCTGAGCAATGGTCCAGGTACTGAAGGCAAGAATCAGCCTCCACAACAAGGCTGAGAGGTTAACAAGGCCATTAGCCCCATCGGGATGTGTATTTTTATACAACTTCAGCTATGAAAGTATTTGAGACCTGGCAAGAAAAATTACTGTAAGTAAAGAGGGACAGGTTCATAACATGCTTGGACAAGACCTGGAAACATACCTGTTTTCCATGCCCATGGATAAGAGGGTACTTGAGGTCATCTTTCACTACTGTTTTGTATCCCCTGAAACAAATAAGGCGTGCAGTTCTTCAGTTTGGTGCTCATTTACCACATCATGGCCTCAAGCCGACATACTCAAAACTAAATGATTTCAAGTGACTGAAGCATCTAACTCGGTGTCCGATTCTGTGGTTATTTGTCTCACACATGTTTTTTACAACATCTCTTTGCTTTAACCAGACATATTCATTTCCCAGTGTAATGGAGAACTACCCCATTTACACAAGGGATGATACCTTCACAAGGTCAAACATGAAGCTTGAAGCAAGACTAAAAATCCAACAACTAAAGCCATTATAGTCAACAGCCCTACCAAAGTGAGTAGATTCCAAACTGAGGACCAGGCCTTCCACTGTCAGCTCCACCAACTCCAAGATCTCTCTCTCTCTCTCTCTCTTTTAACTGTTAATGCCTACCACCAAAGCCAATGATGAGGGATTACAGAAGTTGCAGTCTGAGAACATTTGGAGAGCCACACTTTTCCCACTCCAGCTTAACACCACAACTGAGCTGCTTGCTATACGCAAATCCAGAAAGAAGCTACAGGATAGTTTTCTATTCTGTTTCCAGATGGCAGAAACCACTGAAATAAAGACCTCTGTGAGGTTCTAAAGCAGAGTTAAAGGAACATTTTGACTCTTGCTCTGTGCAGCCAAGGGAAAAAAAGCAAGAATCAACTACTTTGTGCTTCAACCTCTGCAATTAGCTCCTAAAACAAGGCGGTCTTTTTCACCTTAGTATCATCCCTCACCTGGCAGGCAACTTGTTACAACAGTGATGCTACCTCACTTTCTCCCTGCCCAGAAGAATGGCCAAAGATGAAAAAGACAGATGCCTAACAGAGGACAGAGAAGAGCAAGAGCTAGCAAGGCATGTGTGTGCAGACCGAAAACCTTGCTTAAGAAAAGATTTTAAAGAAGCAATGTAGGGAAACTAGGAAAGTAACAAGAGAAATGATGTGCCAAATGGGGCTACCACTAGAAAACTGCCCCCCATACCCAAGCCAATGCAACAAAGTGACCTACCAGCCTTCCATGGAATAATCTCTGTACAGGACTTTCTGGCCCACGTCATCTCCTTTCAATCTTCTTGGAAATTCATACCGTGTGAATTCATCTGCCAGGAGCTTTGGGTAAAGGAAAGCCTGAGGAAGGAATTAAAATTCAAAAATATGAAAAAGGGAAGCATCACCTGAGACGGCAGTGATGGGCCCTCTCAAGTTAGAGTTGTTGCTGATATCCTATCGTGACATTTCCGCATATATTCAACTCTCTTCCAAATCCTTAACACCACTATCATAAACCAGAAAAAAAGGGGTCCCATTCCAGATCATGAAGCCCTGCTCTGTGCAATGGGGATGGGACTTTGTAAACAAACCTCTTGTCTTACCTAAAATGCTCCAAGACTAAAAAGGTTCAGGTCTAATAAGTGAACATACTCTCAATGGAGTAGCCAATTCTTTTCTTTTTTTGAAATGACAGGATACACATCTATTCCACCGAACTTAAGAATATGATGAAGCAAAGTCACTGGTTCACAACCTCCCAGTGCTCCTCCTAGACTAGCACGAAGTACAACACAAGTGCAAGAGATGTAGTCATATTGCACAAAGAATCTACCCTGTGGTGTTGAGAGACCTCCGTACATATGAACAGACAGTGCAAAGTATAATATGTATACTGCCAGTATAAAACATGCAGGAAAGTACTTTGGAGATCATGTTTTTCAAACAAGGTAGGGTTTACTTACCAGGTGCTGGATTCTCTGTCTCTCTGTCTCAGGTGTGAATTCAGTACTCAAAGGAACAATGCTTTGATTTCGAACAAGGAGTGCCCTGAATTAAAAACAAGAATCAGGACTCTTATTTTCAAGTGGATTTACCTCATTACTTGTTTCAGAAATGGGAATAAGTGTTAGACTTGTGTTACCTGTGGCAACACAACGTAAGAATATCTGCTATATACAGCTAGCTTCTCAGACAGAGAAGAGCTTTTGTGGGGAGGGCCAGTCTTAAGATCTCAATTAGCTCAAGAGACAAGTTGGTTTCAGAGGTGTATATTACTGTGTTTGGTCGGTGGTATGCAAACTGCTCTCCTCCTGATGAACAAGGACTCATTTGAGACACCTATTTGTATTAACACTCAGCAAGAACAGCTGATCATACAAGGTACACATGGAAAGAGATAAGAAGGTACACAGTTACACTTACAGAGAGCAAACGTAACACTCCATTGATAAAGGCAAACAGAGTCAAACTAAAAACTGTATTAAGTATTTTTATCTGCACTTGATACTAGCTACTTTGTTTTTCCTGAAAATATAGCCATTCCAAAGTCCTTCCAGACTAGAAAAAGAAGTCAGGGTTTAACCCCTTTCTCCCTTCAACTTATTTCTCATTAAACACACACACACACACACACACAGAGAGAGAGAGAGTGAGAGAGAGAGAGAGAGACTTCAATCTATGATTGCCCCCCAAAAAGGTGCCACTGGGAAGGGGGTTTTCAGCTGGAAATCAACATGGACAAAACCTCACCCTCCTTTAAAACATGGACCATGTGAAGCAGCTTTTTAAAGAAATCACCACTAATGTAATTATTGATCCAATGTGTAGGTGACCCTATCACATTAAAAGGTATACCTCCTGTTGAGGGAAATGTTCTGTCCCATCCTTGGTTGTACTAAATTTGAACTTACCTGCTGTCACCTGCATTTGCCACATAGAGCTTTCCCTGCAGATAAAGAGCAGCTAGGGCAGTGCAGCCCCCCAGCTGGTTGGTCGTTTCCATCTCCTGACCAATCACTTCATCCTGTTAAGAGAACAGTAATTTAACGATGCAAGGCCAGTGACAGCTTTTCCAGCAAAGACTGATACTGAAAATCATCACCGTTATTAGAAATCTCAAAAATTATTCCGGCACCCAATGAAATTGCAAACTGCTTTGATTCCCGCACCATGCAATTCTATTTCCCTTTACATGGTAATGAACTAGAATCATGTTGTCAATGAATGCTTGAACAGGAGAAATTGCTAAGTCTTGGTGGCCAATTGTCACTTATTGCGGTGGTGCTGGCTGCATTCCTAGGCATGCACACAATCAGAGAATTACATGTGAACTGTCAACCAGCGCATCACGCTAAGTTTATGTACTGTGTTTCTCCAAAAATAAGACAGGGTCTTATATTAATTTTTGCTCCAAAAAAAACGCATTAGGGCTTATTTTCAGGGGATGTTTTATTTTACAGTCATGTCATCTTCTGGTTGCTGCACAACGATGGAGGGCAGGATTTCACTTAACTAGGGCTTATTTTGGGGGTAGGCCTTATATTAAAAGCATCCTAAAAAAATCCTGCTAGGGCTTATTTTCAGGTTAGGTCTTATTTTTGGGGAAACAGGATAAGATGGTGCTGCTGGGCACTTGTCCTTTTTGTAGGCTTCTTGTAGGCACTCAGCTAGCTCCTAACTAAACAAAATTTTGGACTATACAGGCCTTTGGTCTCTTCCAGCACATTTCCCATCATATTCTTATTTACATACATAAGCAGAGAGACACTCAGTAAAATCCAGATTCAGGCATGTGTAGCTGAGCTGGCCAAAGTAGACTTCTTTGCCCCTACTTCCCCAAAAGATTTCTTTAGCTGACTGACAATGCCAAACAAAAGGATAATAGGGTAAAGGACAGAGAGGAGAAGCAACCCCCACCACCACCACCACTAAATGAAGGCACTTTCTGAGAGCCTTTCACTGATAGAAGGCAGATCCAGGATCCTGACACCAAATTGTGCACTGGCACAAATGTTTGGCATTGAACTGTAGAATAAACACAGCTCCACCAAGGGATGAATAGAAACAAGGGTCTATGAAGCCTCCTTGCCAGGCTGGGAAATTAACAGGACTTATGCTGAGGGAAATCTCAGACATAAGGAGCCCCACAATTCTTAGGGGAACAAAGAAGGGGCACTCACACATTCCTGGAAGGCGTTCTCCAGAGCTCCAACTACCACATCTTCCTGACGAATCTGCTTTTCTTTCACAAACTGTGGATCACTTTGGCAAACACACTGTCCGTTGAGGTGCATTGGGGGACGGTCTTCAGTAATGCCTTGTACCACATCCTCTAGTTTCTGCTTGATGCAATAGTGCAGGTAGTTGGAGGCCAAAACAGACGCTACTGGGCCACCATGGCCATCAAACAACGCCCAGTAATAGCCAGTCATGTACTGAAAGTCAAAGTATTGGAGTTACTGACATGTGGGACATCCTTTCATGTTACTTCAAAGGCAGTTTTAAGAGTACAGATGCAGATTTCTGCTAAGGCTTGTAGCTATAGGTGGTGGTGGTGGTTGGCCACACATTTCTCAGCCAGACCGGCCTTCTCACGTTGCTGTGAGAACCAGAATAAAGCACCTACTGCTCTGAATCTTCTTTACATGACAGGAATATATTTTGAGGTGTGGTTGTTCACATGGAACTCAGTTCATAAACTGGCTTGGGAGCCTTTGTTAGGGCCAGAAGATAGTCAACATTTTTCAAAATTCCATTAGAAACACACCTATTTATTTGTAAAAAAACCAAAAACAATAGGTGTGATTCTAATGGAATTTTGAAAAATGCTTTATTTGGATTGCAGCCATGTGTTATTCACAGGTCTGCTTTTGAAGATGGTCCCGAAACTTCAGCTGCCTCAAAATAATAATCCATGTGGAAAATGATCAACAGTGACTGGCTAATACAACCATATTTTGCCAGTACCTTATCATATGTCCTGAAATATCATGAAATATCATGAATGCATGTAAAAATGCGAGTAGATAAATAGGTACCACCTCAGAGGGAAGATAACATTCCGTGTCTAGTTGCGCTGGCTTTACGGCTTGGAGATGGGGATGAGCACCATGCCCTAGAGTCAGACACGACTGGACTAAATGTCAAGGGGAACCTTTACCTATCATATGTCCTAGCTTTCCTCCCATTTCTGGTGCACATAGTCTTAAAGATAAGCACAGTGACCAAGCAGGTCCGAGAGGGGGAACAGTTCTTTCTGTCTGTTGCACAATTCTAAATAAAGCTTCAGATGTGTTTCTTTGATGATTCTACACATCTACAATCTATAGCAGTGGTCCCCAACCTTTTTAACACCGTGCACCAGTTGGGGAAGGCGGGGCACCCCCATGCTCGTGCAATGCGCGAAGGAGCAGGGGGCACTCGTGCGGGCCCACTTGTGCACATGTGCAAAGAGCGGTGGAAGCTCAGAGGGCCCTCGTGCACATGCACAAAGGGGGGCTCATGCACATGTGCAAAGGGGTCATGCGGGGGGGATCTGTCTCCGCTGCCCGGCCCAGGCCACAGACTGGCACGGGCCATGGACCAGTGGTGGAGGCCCCCTGATTTATAGAACAAGGAAAAGCATTCTCTCCTTTCAAGAAAGAGGTCAACTAATCAAGACCATAGCAGAGAATCCAATACTGGGAGACGTCACAAAAATCATCAGCTGCCCACTCCTTGACCTACAAATCTGCCCCATGTTTCTGAGCTTTATTGTATTTTTTTTTTCATCTGTATAAAATAGATTCACCAAGCAGATACAAATCTGCAGCTCATGCCTTTTATAGGATACTTGGCATGTTCTAGTAGAAAGCCCAAGAACAAACTAAGCCATTCATAATTTGATACATAAAGGCACACAGCAAGAGTAGGAGGAAGAAGCACTAATTGTTTAAATGTGCGTCCCTATAAGGCGTGACTGCAGCCAGCCTACACATGACTGCCATGCAGGCATGAATTGCCCTTTGAAAAGAACTCTTAAATTTCTTTTAGCAATCCTTTTTTTATCTAAATTTTTTAATATTTGTTTAATTATCTTAAAATATTCAAATCACTTATACTGTTTTTAGCTTTTAATATTGTTTCTTTTTAATTATCCTTGGGTCTTTTTTTTTTTAGCAGAAAGGCGAAGTAAAAATATTTTTAATAACAACAGTCCACCAATGAGAAACAGAAACTTGAGTCATACAAAATGCCGCTCAAAGAAAGGACCTTGGAGGTAAATATTTTATGCACCTCTCAACCGTGGGTGTGATACTTGGCTCCCCTTTCTCTGCTGTTAGAAATACCTGCAACCCTGGAGAGAAAAGAGTAGGTTGGCCGAGTGACTGCCAACAGCTGACCAAGGAAGGCCGACTGAAAAGAAGCAGTCTGGATAAACAGGACGACATCTCTCTCTTTCTGAATCTACATGCACAAAACCTATCAGCAATGGTGAAAAACAAAATCTTCAGATATATTAGACAGAATTTTACTTTTGTTCACTTCTTTCTCTTGTCACCTTTCAGCTAGAATGTTTATTGTGACTGATGAGGAATTGGTAATTTCTTTTTTTCCCCTTATACAAACCATCCTCAGTTGTTCTTATTTTGTTCTTGATCTGTTTTGAGCTGAAGGGTGATATGAAAATATTTACAATAAATAAGTGGGAACATACACAATATTCTGGGAAAAAAAACCCTGAGGGCGGGAGAAAGTCATGGCTGTCACTAATCCCAGATATCAACAGGCCAAGACGCCACATCTGAAATCACCTCAGTTGAGCACAGAATCAGCCACTCTTGGTCCTCCTCTTTGCCGTAGTCCTTCTTCCTGATGGAGATCTGGCAGCATGTTGCCTGGTCTTCATTAAATTCTGATTTTTCTGCATTGATAGTTCTGAAAAGAGAAATAAATTTTATTAAAACAGAATTCACAAGCATAGCTGAAGTACTTCCCATTTTTTTCTAAGACCAATAAAACTACAGTGGACCCTCTACTTAAGGAATTAATCCGTATTGGAATGGTGGCTGCAAGTTGAAAAGTCTATAAGTCGAATCTCCATTGACCTACAATGCACTGAAAACCGATTAATCCCATAACCAGTGGTTTTTATTCTATTTTTATTCCATTTTGGTTTTTTTTCTGGTCTGTAAGTCGATTCTCTGGCTGCAAGTCGAATCTAAATTTTGCAGCCAGAGAAGTCTGTAACTCGAAAAGTCTGTAAGTCGAGCCGTCTGTAAGTCGAGGGTCCACTGTAGTGAATACAGTTCAGCTATGCAATCTTTGAGGTCAATGCTCTAGGCACCACAAAGAAAAAGGAAACATTTGTCACAAACATTAATTACCATTCCTATCGCTCTAAGGGTATGATCCTACACACATTTACTCTTGACTTGCCCTCCAGTGAACACAATGAGACGTACTTCTGAGTAGACGGGCCCAAAATTATGTTACTAAACATCATAGTTTCCACATGGGGAAATTACAAACTAACGAATGGCACTACAAATAAAATTAATAGATGTAAGACTTAGGGAATGAGAAAGAGTGGCCCAAACCCCCAAGCACAAGCACTGTTTGGAAGTCCAGCCTGAAGACTCTTGGGCAACTAACATGGGTCATAATGGCCACTCAAGTAACACACATGGTCAAGCACGAGCCACTGCAGGAACAAAAAAGGATGTGATAGAAAAGAGCTGCCTATTCCATGTGATGAAGGAAAGGAGAAGTAGCCTAGCTGTACACATTAGGCAGCCTTCCTCTGCACTCACATGAACCTCAAATGTTGCTTCCTAGGAGCCATTTACTGCCTGCGGATGCTGTCTGAAGTGTGTCAATATTTTGAAGGGCTTCCTTCACACTGTGTCTCAAACCCATGTCAATCCACCACAGGGTTTAACCACAACATTGCTATGAATCAGTTTTGCTGTTGAGATCACAGCTTGTCAACACAGGAAATGGCACATTTTAAATGTTCTTTCCTGTGTGCATCAAGAATGGTTGCTTCACTAATTGACACAGCATTTCACCCCCAATGAATAAAGCTCTGACCTCAGCTATCTTGCCATGTTCTGGTTGCCATGTATTTCCATAACACAGCAGGTCATCACGGCTATTGAAACTGCATTTCCTCCTCTTTTCCCCAGTCATAACCCTTGGTTTTTGGAAGCTGTAGCTAGGCTCTCCTGTACAGACCTGTGCCCTGCCTTAAGCCAATGTTGTTGTTACATGCCGTCAAGTTCCCCTGATTTATGGCAACCCTATGAATATTTTGGGAGCCATTGAAATAGACTATATAATTGGAAACAACAGACGGAGAATCATCCCCACCATCTTAGATGTGTAGAGCTGGAAGAGACCCAATGGATCATTAAGTCAAGGAGGCACAGCAGGGGACCAAACTCCCAACCTCTGGCTCCACGGCCGGATAACCAAGTTAGCTTGAGTGTCACTGCTGTTTATAAAAGATTCCCCTGCCATCATCACCTTCAGCTGCTGCTGCTGCTCAGCAGCTGCCCTGGAGATGTTTCTCTATCCCTATCAGCACTGGAACTATCCATTCTCTTCAGCAGATGCTGCTGTTACTCCTGAAGAGGGTGGACGCATCTCAGTCTGGTTCCTCGGCTGTGAACATTTCAATTTGGGTGACCTTGCTACAAGTTTGGGCTTGTAGTGGAGTCTAGCCTCCTGACAGCATTGCTCTCAGCTTCTCTGACACTCCTCCAGTATGCAAGAAGGACCACAGTCTGAATTTGAAAACCAGAAATCAAGCGTGGACTAGGGTTGTCCGTGGATCAGATATTGTGCAGAACTGGCACTTTTGAAGTGCTCGACATTTTCCATTGACAACTGAAAAGTGATAGGTCATTAGCCTGACGTGGTTGTTCCCAACAGGTCCTGCAATTGAGTCATACACTCACCCTTGGTCAGAGAAGGGAAATTTAGTCACTTGGGGGGGGGTTCTTTGGGAGTGGGCTGTCTCCATCCACAGTGGGCAGAGATCACAGCTACATGGGAAAGAGGCATAGAGTACAGTTGTGGGAAGGGGAATTACACAGCACTGACAGCCATGGGTTAAGAAATGTCTCCACACTAGAAGTGTGAGGTATGGAAACACCAGGTACTTGAATCCATAGTCACTAAATATCACTGTGTACAGGCTGAATGGAAATGTCTCCCTTAATTATTTAGAGAGCAGGAGGAGTGTTTAATTCCATGTCACATTAACAACATTTTGTTATCACCTGAGCATGTCCAGCATTAAAACATGCTTCTATCTCAAAGTATCTCCCAAAGTATCACATTTGGGATAAATGTCCTTGATGTGTCTTTAACATCTGCTTGTGTAATTTCATCACAAATCTTTCCATCTCGGCTTGTTGACGGCAGCCAATCAGAACTTGGACTGGGCATGGTCAAACCATGGCCAAACCAAACATGTTTTGCTGCAGTCCTCCTCTGGCCACATGTCTCTTCTTACCGCTGACTACTGACCATGGTGGCTGGAGCTTCTGTGAGCATGTTTGGAGAGCAGTGTGTTATTAGCCCTGGTTTTGATGGGGAGGAAAAGATAGGAAGCTCCTCAAGGAAGCTTTTGTTCACCTCTGCAACTACCATATGGGTGACATGCAACTTGCCAAAGAAACTTTTGACTGTCATATGGCATTGGCTTATCTATTTTTTCATCTATTTTCCCCCAAAGTGTTTTCCCCCTTCTTAACTGAGTAAGAATAACTGATCTGTTGTTAGCTCCTCCCCCCCACCCTCAATATTTGCTCGCTTTATTTGCATCCTATTCATCTGAAGAGTTCTGCTTGAGTACAAGGAAAAACAAGACTTGCTCTAAGGCAAACAACCACCAGGAAGAAGGGATGAAAAAAAGAAGCACTTGATACACCCGGCGGCATTTCCCCATTTCAGCAGGATGTAAGTGTGTATTTTCACCTGAAGAGAACTGCGTCCAAAAGGGGGGGGGGTTTATATAAATGTTCTCCCAGCATATGCTGGACAAAAGATCTCTAGCATATAATACTGTGCCCATAGGACAGCCTTCTAACCAACAGTTGATCAGATTTTTGAAAAAACTGCCTCAGGTATTTGCATGACTTTCCAATAAAATTACCTGGTGTTTGGCTTCAAACTATAATACAGTGGAATCTTCTTATCTGCTTTTCATATCTGGCTGCAATTACATTACAGTAACTAAGTTGCAATCACCTTGCTTATATAATTTTTGACCAGGACTTCAATGGTCATTTATGGCTGGATAAAATCAAATACCAATAGAGATTCATTCACTATTAAAGCAATATAAAACACTTGTCTCACTATGGGTTGTTGCATCTCAGATCAAGCAAAACTACCTAACAGCTTTGCTTGGTTGAGAGCAAATGTAGTGTAGTCATGGACAGAGTGATAGACTAGGATTTAGGTGGCCAGGCTTCAAATTCACACTCAGCCATGGAATGACCATTGATTTACCACTGTCCTGAGGATGGCAATGGTAAACCCAGTCCTAAAATATCTCATATAACTTGAAAAGCCTCTGTTGGTTGCCATACGTTGGACAAGATTTGACAGCATGTGATACATGCCTCTAGCCAGACTTAGAGGTTCCCTTCTCTCTTATTCTTTCTCTGGAAATATCTTATTGGTCTTCCCTCTATTCCAAGCAACAGTTTGCAAGTGTAGTAGTGAAAATCCTCTGACAGGTCTTGCACTTTTAAAGCATGATCAATTATAAAGTATTCAAGAAATTTCTGCAATTTTACCTTTTTAAACATTTAGTATTCTCTGGAGCCTTACAACTTGGTTTTCCCCAGGACAACTGTTTCATCTCTCATGGCATAACCACAGATGTCTTGCCAAACCAGCAACTACTAGGCTAATACAATAAAAGCCCATGGTTAAAAAAAAAAAACCTAAGGAAATATTTGCATAGGCAGGAAGCATCTAACCTCCTCTCCTTGCGAACAGAAGGGGGAGAAAGAAACACTTCCACCAAAACCAGATCACTTTCATAATGATGTGTCAGGGTTTGCAATCCACCAGAACACAGCATTTTACACTTGTAACACATTGTAACACGTTAAATGACACTTCAATTTTAAGTTTTTGTTGTAGGAAGAAACACACAAGCATGAGAACAATTTCAAAAATTGCCCTGTAGATCTTATCAAAATATTATGATATAGATACATTAAAATTATTTTGCTAACTCATAAGGCCTCCAAATCAACTTCTAAATTAAAAACCCATTGTTTTCTAAAGATCTATATGCTTCCATTTAAGTGGTCCTCCTTCCATGATTAATTTCGCAATAAACAGAGAAGCAGTAGAGAATTGTTACTTATATACTGCCAAGTCACTTCCCACTTATATGCTGACCATAATAGGGTTTTTAAGCTACGAAGATGTTCAAAGAGCAGTTTACAATTTTCCCCTCCAGTAAACTCCCATGGCTGGGCAAGAATTCAAACCTACTTCTCCTGACTCCTAGTATGCTGACTCTTGCATATTTGCTCTTTCCTGGCTGCATTTCTGCAATATGTGAGTAGCTTATCATGGTAATACTGATGAACTTCATCTCTGGATTTTCCAGATGTTCAAGAATACATTGTGTGGTAGCAATACTGCCTAACTTAGCCAGTCATGCAACTTAAAAGTATAGAGATTCCATCAAAGGTAAGCAAATATCTGTGTCGTTGACTTTAATGGGAAGTTATACAGAATGTTCGTCCATCAAAAATACACTTCTCCCTTCAAAAATGCTGGGGCTAGGAGCACCAGACCCCCATGTAGTTCTTATGCCCCCAAAAACATAACCACAAAGTATAAACAGTTGATTGATTGATTGACTGATTGAGAGAGAGAGAGAGAGAGAGAGATGTTTACTGTATTAAATGTGAAGCGTGCCCTATTTGCCACATGCAGCTGCCATGCCATCGAACCAGGGGCTGCCGCACTGCCAAAAACGGGCCTCAGCAAGCCCAAGACCCACTTTTCTCAGGCCACTTCCTAGAGACAAACAGAAGCACAGTATTTATTTATTTATTTATAAAAATATTTATTTACTGAAAATAATTATCAGTTTATAACCAAAACTGTGCTGCTCAAACCCATGTAATTCAAGGGAGAAGTGTAAATGAAACCTCAAATATCCAACATTAGCTGGAAAAATAGCCCTGAATTCAAAATCAGAAGCATGCTTGTTTGCTCTAAGTCATGTCTTTCAGTTTTCACTCCACATTGGGGTTTTACTATATGGCACAGACTGGGAAACCTATGGCTCTACAGATGTTTCAAACAATCTGCTACCACTGGCCATGCTAGCTAGGAGAGATGGGAATTAAAAGTCAAAATTTTCTAGTATGCTGGACATTCCCCAAGCTGCTAGCTACAGAAATTAGAAAGAAGTAGAGAATCTATTCTCCTATGCATCCCCGTCTACCAATTTTCATATCTGGCTCTATTTTTCAGGCAAGAAAACCACAGCAGGTGTTCGTTTTGGTTTCTGGTGCTTAGCTGTGGAAGTTACCCCCACATACAGAACAGATGCAGCTTCTGCCATAACAAACCACTCTTGCCAAACATTCTGCGGACGTACAGCAAAGAACAGCACTTGTCCCGTTACTGTACACGTAAGCACTCCCAAGCACACATAGTCAGGAAACATTACTAAAACCACTAACACGATGCAGAACAGTCAGTAACTATTTTTTGCAAGAGGCTGTTGGGAAACTTCATTTCTCCACAACTAGTGACTCTAACAGGTTTTCCACACAATACAATATATATTAAGCAGCCCTACCAATATTAACTACTGTGGAGCTGCATCTCATAAGACCTAACAGCAGTGTATAACAACAATCCCAACATTATATACCATAATTTCCTCCTTAAAACATCTATTTTGTTGACATTTACTGATGAAGTAGAAGCTAATGGTTTATTAATTTTAAAAAAATAGCATAGTTACTGGTGTTCCTTATGTACAATGTATCATCGTAATTCCTAAAGTGTTGAAATTCGAATGTTAACAGAAAACTGAGAAATAGTTTTTTAAGTAAAGCTAGCCAGTCCTGCCGGAGTTGATAAACCCAAACCAGGTCTTCCTATCGAGGATGAGGGAAAAAATCACCAGCAACGGGTTCCTACTGTATCTGGGACTGCTGCTTGAGAGACCAAAGGCCCCACTGAGCACCGCAGGGTCCAAAGGTCACCTGCAGAGAAGCCCTGATTCTCACGATGAGCGATAACCTCTTGACCTTCCCGCCACCTGCAAAAAATGCCCTCCACTACTGTATGGCCACCGTCGCCTTCACGGGGTTCTCGCGAAGCTTGTCTTCGTGGCAACAACATCCGACGGCGTCACAAGAAAGGACGCCCCCCCCGCGGGCACTTGGGTTTCGCCACCACACTCAGCTCTTCGGGGGTGGGTGGGTGTTGTTTTGCAGCGAAAACTGAAACCACTCACACGATGCAGAAGAGTCAGTAACCAATTTTTGCAAGAGGCTGCTGGGGAAACTTCGTTTCTCCACAACTAGTGACTCTTTAACAGGTTTTCCGCACAATATGTATTAAGCAGCCCTCCCAATGGCGAAAGCAACAGCCACGAGAGGCTGACACCGCTCCGAGGGGAGTACAGTGGACCCTTGACTTACAGACGGCTTGACTTACAGACTTTTTGAGTTACAGACTTCTCTGGCCGCAAAATGTAGGTTTGACTTGCAGACTGAGATTTGACTTGCAGACCAGAAAAAAAAACAAAATGGAACAAAAACGGCCTGTTACGGGATTAATCGGTTTTCAATGCACTGTAGGTCAATGGAGACTTGACTGACAGACTTTTTGACTTGAGAACCGCCTTCCAATACGGATTAAGTTCTCAAGTCAAGACCCCACTGTATTCGAAGCGTTCCTCCCTTCCCGCCCCTTTCCCCGTCTAGGATTCCCGAAATCCCCTAAAACAACCTGCTGGCTGGGAGCACCCTGGAATTCCCCGCAGTGAAACTGGGCCGAGGTCCTGCCCGTTTCTCCATTTCCACCCCCACCAGACCACCGGTCATGGGGCGAAGTGGGGCGACAAGAAGACATAGACGTCAGGGCCTCAGGCAAAAACTAACGAGACAGGCCAGACGGCAAAAGCGCCGGGGCACCTGAGAGGCGACCTGCTCTGTTGTAAGGCGAGGTTTCGTGGACCGCCGCCCCCCCTTCAAGGGGGCCCCTCCAACGAGGGAGGCAGGCAGGCGGGCGAGCGGGCGGGCAGGCAGCTGGAGCGAGGAGAGGCTCTCCCACTCCGGACCCCGAGTCCCACCTCCACCGGCTGCCCTCGCCCCTCGGAAGGACCCCCCCTCCCTCCGCCGCCCCACGGCGGGCTGCTCGTCCCTCTCTCACTCACTCCGCATAGCCGGTGTGCCACTGGAGAGGCCTGTCCCGGGCCGGGCAGCGGACGGGGCGCCGCCGGTCGGGCAAGCTCTCCTCCTCCACGTAGGAAGCGCCGCGCAGGAATTTCGGCCGCCTGCACGGCAGAGGGGGCGCCGGCGGCTGGGGCACCTGCTGCTGCTGCTGCTGCAACCCTCCTTCGCCTCCTGGAAGCAGCGGCGGCGGGGCGCCTTTCCCTCGCCTCGTCGGGCTGGAGCTACTCAAGAAACGCCGCTTGAACCAGTCCGAAGACATGAAACACAGTCCCCCCGGGAAGGGGAGGCGGCGGCGGCGGCGCACCCACCGACCAGTCAGCCTCGCTCGCCCGCTCAGCTCTCCTCCGCTCCGGGGAGGCGAAGTGGTGTGTGCGGAGCGCGGCCGCGGTCTCGCCCGAAGTTCGCGGCCCGGAAGGAGGGGCGAGAATAGCGACGCGTTCTCACGACCAATGGCCGCCGGCGCGGGTGAGCCGAGGGGACGCCGCAGCCAATAGGAGCCAGGCCAGGCCAGACCCCCCACCCCCAGTCCCGCTGGGCTCGCCTTGCCCGTTTCCTCTCTTGGGGTCCGCGGGGCAGTGGAGGGAGTTTAGCTCCCAGAATTTCCCGTCAGAAAGCCTGGCGGAGACGCCGAGCGGTCACAAGACACGGGCACTGGTGACGAGCCGCTGACTCACTGGCCCGAGAGAAGTAACGACCCAGGTGGAGTCCTGCTGACGGGCCGGGGGCGCCTGGCTGGTTCCCAAGGAGGTCGGGCAGAGGTCTCCAGGCGGGGCGTGAGTGCAAGCGAGAGCGCTCTGGGCAGCCCCTGGCACATGCCCGAGGTCTGGGCTCCCTGGTCCTGAAGGGCATAAGAGCCACCCGTAGCCCTGTTCTCTTCGTCTCCTAGGTCTAATTCACTTTTAAAGCCACGCTCCATGTCGGTGGCCAACACTCATTCTTGTGAGTGGGGACCCCAGTTTACACTATGTGATTGCACTTCCTGAAGAAGCGTCTCCCCTACCTCTCTTTAATGCACCCATCATTTGTCTTCAAGGAGAACATCCCAGGCTCTCATTTTATGAGAGAAGGAAAATTCACCTTTCTGCAGCATGCATAAATCTCCCTATCTACATTTTTAACCCTGTGCATAATTTTTCATGTATGTCTGTTATGTTTCCCTTTATTTTGTCTGAAAACATTAAACAGGCCCAAATAGTATGAGCATTCCATGCAAGGCGGGGTGGGGTGCTCCTCCACAGCCTTGATAGTTTTCTGCACCTGACTGCCATCTTTACAGCCTTAGAGTACACATAAGTTAAGATTTGGATGCTGGTAGACTCAGTAGAGAACTCTGATACATAAATAACAACTATAAACTACACATTACTGATAAACCTAGAAGCGAAACTTGGTGTCTTTGCAGAGAGGAAGAGAATGGGATGTGTTTATCAATAGGAAAAAAATTAAGTAGCTTCACTGCTATTATTAAGAGTTGTCTCTAAGATGAAGAAGAACAGGCAAAGTGATGAAAACACAAAAGCCAACCTGTGAATACAAAACTGACCCCCTCCTTTTCAGTATGAGCATTCGTGGGTGACAGCCTTCTTCTTCAGATTGCAAATCACAAAAGCTCATGAGGACGAAAATCTGTTAGGTTTAGTGGGCCAATAGCCACATGTATGGGACATTTGAAAAACATGCCATGACATTTCTGCTTCTCTTCTTGGATTTGATTTGATTTGATTTTAGTTGGTAATGTTTCATAAGGAACTCTGAGTATTTTGAAAACCTGATCACAACTTTTTTCCTTTTGCCTGATAAAAGCATTACCACCATACAGATATGGGTATTTTTTCTCACTGCCAATACTGTATGGCTGCCACTACCTTTTGTTTTCAGTGGCCCAAATCCCATTTGTTGCTGGTGCAACATAATTGGCAAAAATCTTGGTTTTTGGTCACAAATTTGTTGGTCAGAAATTGAGACCTTAAAAGAAAGATTTGCTGTTGCACACCAAATTATGTCACCCAGTAGGTAACAGCATGTATGTTCATGTCTTAACTTGTTGCAGTTTAGCAATGAGATTTACACCAACTGCTTTCAATGTGAAAACAAGCAGGATTTACCTATATTTCCCGTAGCACCATCTAATTCCTAAATGAGCTGGCATTATGTAGAATAAATATCGTGAATGAATTCCTTCCCTCTTTTTTCACCTCCCTGCTCCTCTTGTGAGTGCCAGCTTTGCTGAGTGAATGGTGTGATACAATTCTTTAACCACCACAATCTTTTAAATAGCAGTTGAATCTCACAAAATCTATATGCCTCTGTTTCTGTGGAACTAATGTGAGTGGTCAGCATTTTGATGTTCTCATCCCAAAATAACAGCTAAGAGACGTAATTGGGAAGTGAAACTGACTGTCAGTCTACAGAGGAAGATGTACCACCCAAACTGTTTTTAAAAAAGGATTAAAAATAAGTGGAGCAGAAATGAACTGGGGCTGCTATCCTCCTTATGTGAGAGTAAATAAGCCCCATTTACAGGACACATATTGCATAATGTCTCAATTGTTGTCAATAGCACACAAGTGATATACATGTGAAATATCTCAGTTGTCAATACCACACAAGTGTTATTTTGTGGCTGTAATTTTAGTTTGTACATTAAGACCTTTCAGATACTATTTATGTAAACATTTGATATTTGCTCATGTGGAAGTGAAAGCAGAGGTATGGTATTTGTATTGCAACTTAGCTTTCTGGTTAATACAGGTTTTATGCCCAGGTCCCATCCTTAATGAAAGCAAAAGCTTCTTGTACTCTTCTATGCAACAACACACCCTGATTCTTGCCATGTGTTCCACATTTTCTCCTGTTAGAAAGTCAGTGTTCCAGAATCTTAGCAGATTACTGCCAAGTGATTATTTTGGCTCCTTGAATAGATATGTCGACTTTAATGTGCTGGTTGAAATAACATTGCACAAGCAGAAGGCAAGTCTCTGAACACTGTATGTTCCATCTATCTTCTTTTCCAGTGATAACACCTGGTGTAATATAGGAATAGTGTGACAAACTAAAGACACAGGAGAACCTGTTGAGCTCTGGAAAATCATGGGGGAGAAGAGGGAGTTAGAACTAGTAAATTCACTACTTAAATATCTCACTTGCTTGAAAGCCTTATTTGGGTCACTATAAGTCAGCACAGAACACAACATGACTCTTTCACACTGAACCCCCCCCATACCTTTTGTGAAGTATCTTCGGAGGGTTGGGGGACCTACAAAACACCATTACATACTGCGGGAGGAGAAGGAATTGCCCAAAATGAGTGCCACTCCTTCACCTGCCCAAAAAGACTGTAAATAACTTCACACGAAATTTGCTGATTTTATCAATGTCATCTTTCGCTGCAGGCTCTGCACACCATGTTCCATTGGTACTCCTGATCTTCTGAAAAGGCTTTGCCAGAGAGGTTCAAGGGACTGCAGTGGGGAAAAATTTGCATAGAAAGAAAAATCGCTGTTTTTGTCGTATTCTCATGCAAAGACTAGAAAATGAGAGTTAAGTTCCTCACTGTGCCTCCTTGACAAGGGCTGGACTTGATGATTCATAGGGCCCCTTCCAACTCTATAATTCTAAGATGATGATGATGATGATGAGCAATATGATATCAATATCAATGTTTCTGTCCACCCAAAATCATTATTACTATACAAGGATTATGTTACCAGCCCATAATCAGAGGGACCACTTGGTTCTGGGATGTATAGTCTGTACATACTTTTCCAAACTTCTAAGAGGAGGAGGGAGAATGTGATTTGAACATGAAAAGAGCAAGATCTTGAAAGACTTAATGTCTCATCCAATCTCAGATCCTCCACCTCCAAGGGGAATTTGGCCCCATAAGTTGTCATCTATTTATGTCAGACTTGGACTTATTTATTTACTGTATTTTTTTTACTGCCCAAAGACTACCCCATTGACCCTATATTTCATCTGCTGCAGGAACTGGAATTTCTCATCTTGGGACAGTGTGGCTGCCAGTCTTTACTCATGGAACACTGTTGCCTGGGTAGATATGGAGACAGAGCTGGTGCTTGGATTTTTAAAAAATCTTACCTTAGTTTGACAAATACACACATTATTTTACACCTAAGAGTCTAATTAGTCTGAGTCAAGTAACAGTTTTGCAGTATGTGTTACAACAATTCAACGGGACTTCCTCCACAGTAAATTTGAATAGGATTACTGCATAAATGTATTTAACACAATCAATTTAGCTGGCACTTTTTTCTGGAACGTATCACAAATGATACCTATACATTTGCATTTCCAGGGATTATTAGAAACACATTTTAAGCATGAATGGAGATTCAACAGATGCACAGAAGCAGGAGGGATTAAAATACACTGCGTTTTTACAAGTTTGTGTGTGGTTCTTGTGCGTTGACCATACTGTTATGGTTTAGGATAGCACCTGAAATACTGGACACCCAGTGTGATGTAGGGGATAGACAGATGGACTAGAGCTCACAGGGCCTGAGTTCACATCTCTACTCAGCTATAGAAACTCATTGAGGATATGGAACTGATTATAACCACTCCTTAAATATTTCACTTACTGTATCTTGAAAGCACTGCAGGAACAAAGAAAAGGCCCTGTGATCCCCAAAGTAGATTACACAGTGTAATACCTTTAATTGAACCAGTAACAATCAAACAATTTGCAAGTTTTTGTGGAGAAAATTCTACTTACTCTGGCTTAACACAACCTCTTTATGGGCAGTGAGGAGAAACGATTTAAGTTTCCCTAGTGACCCTAAGCCCCTCCTTGGATTGCTGCCTTGTCATGGCAAAGGGGTTTGAGTAATTAAGAGAAGCTATGGGCTATGCCATGCAGGGACACCTAAGACGGACAGGCCATAGTGGAGAGTGAAGTCAAGTGGGCCTTAGAGATCATGACTAACAACAAGGCCAGTGGAGGTGATGGCATTCCAGTTGAATGATTTAAAATGTTAAAGGATGATGCTGTTAAGGTGCTACACTCAACATGCCAGCAAGTTTGGAAAACTCAACAGTGGCCAGGGGATTTCCCAAAGAAGGGCAGTGCCAAAGAATGCTCCAACTACTGTACAATTGCACTCATTTAACACGCTAGTAAAGTTATGCTCAAAACCTGTTTGGACAAAAAACTGGAGGTTTGTGCTCATCTCTTAAAAATTCACCACCTATGATGATCGTTAAAGGCATTAGAAATCACATACTGTATATGGAGATGCTGGCAGTCCACCAAGGAGATGGGTGAATAACCCTAATGATCTCCTCTCTGCCCTCCCTCAATGGCATTCATTTATTAAATATAGGAAGTCATGTCATAGGTAGAGGAAGACTGGGTTGCTTTGTATGCTTTAAGGGTGCTAATTGCACTTCTGGGGAAGACACACA